CGCTCGGTCCTGCCGTGCCCTGGAGATGCTGTCGGGGCTGCGCCGCCGCTCTTTCCCCCCGGAAGCGACCCACGGCAGCAGATCCGACGGAGATCGTCCCGGGGGTAAGCGGCGGGGGCGCGGCGGGGGTGGGGGCGGCCGCTCTTCTGCCTCTCCCGCGGCCATCGGGACTGCAGGCAGGGGAAGCGACAGGCAAGTTTCTCGCCTCTGCGGAGAAACTTGCACCTGCCTGCGGCCGCAGAGCCGGGTTCGGATGTGCCCTGGCATTGCACACCCCCCCCCCGCCCCCCCCGCGGGGAGGGTCTGCGCTGCCTCGGGGACCCTGTCTGTGCTGCCGGGAGAGAGAAATCCTTTGGGAAGCTGGGGTGGAAACAGCGACTCTGTGAATTGCTCAGCTTTCCCTAGGGAAGGGCAGGTTTTAGGGAAGAAAGGCCCGTACTCGCGAAAGGCGCCGCGCGTCTCGCCAAGGGGGGGGGGGGGGGGGCGGGGGGCCGCCGGGCCCCCCCCCGCCGGGGCCCCCCCGGGCGGGTCCGGCAGGCGGGGGCCGTGAGGCAGGGCCCGGCGCTCGGGGGCGGGCTGGGAAGCGGCGCCTGCGCAGAGCGAGGCGCTGCCCGGGCCGGGCCTGAGGCGCTCGGGGCCGCCGGGCAGGGCAGTGCTCGGCTGGCGGGTGCCCCGCAGAGAGAAGAGCCCGGCCCTGGGAAGGCGGGAGCCTGGGCTCGAGCTGCTCCGGACCGCTGTGGGGATGGGTTTGAAGTTTTGGGATCACTTGTTTCTGTCCCTGCCTTCCCACTGAAAACAATAACTTAAGAAGTCCTCGTCTGGACTGGTCCAGAGAAACGGTGGAGTCTCCATCTCCGGAGATGCTTAAAACACTTTTGCTCAGGCAAAGTCGTGAGCAACCTTTTCTGCCTAATGCCGCTCTTTGAGCAGCAGAGATTGGACTAGGTGATCTCCAGAGGTATTGTCCAACCCCCACCATTCTGTCCTTCTGTAAAGGAGCTTTGCACTGCCCTTTTGAACTGTAATCTGTTGATGACCTGTGTTGAGGTCACACTGCAGCTTGTTACACTGCAGCTTGTCACACTGAATGGCAGCCTGAATAATTTAATATTGAACTGTGATTAATCACAAGATGAAAGCTAAGATAGGCTGGTAAGAGGCAGTGTTCTTTGCTACTACACAGGAAGAAGGGAAAGAATCTCAAAAACAAATAAATGAACAAAAAAACCCTTTATATTTGCTTGTGCAAGAAGAAGATTGTTCTTCCACTCGACCAGGTTTTGAGAGGACAAATTAATTGTTTCTCTGACAACACTATACATTGGAGGCTGCTAATAATCCCATAGTCTGTGCTGAAGGTTTTAGCTGATTGTGTTTGTCATCAGCTTTTACTAAAGAAAAAGCAAGCCTTCTTGGCTGTGTGGATATTCCAGGAACTGAATGATTCCATTCATGTAGATAATGATAACAGAGCCAAAACAAAAATATTGTAAGTGTCCTATGTGGAACAATATACAGAATTTCAAAAGGGATTGTAGTGGTCCCATATACAGAACTAACATACTTCCTGTTCCTTATTTGCTGATCAGGTCATATTTATCTGCCTGTCAGGACTGTTGGAGCGCTGGATGGAGAGCAGGTCATATGAAGAGGATTACGGAGTAAAAGGCAGCTTGTACTTAAGTGCAGGGAAAGTATAAATATTTATATATATTGGCACAGTGCCTAGCCTTAATGCTTAAAATCCTTTGGAGAGCTGTCTGCATATTTACTGTATTAATGATCAAATGCAAGGCTGTGTTGGGAAAGGTCTTCCATTTGGAAGTCAGTAGTTGAGACTGTCTTGCCTATGAAAAAGAGGGAGAATTTTCATTGGAGGATGTAGGATTCTGGCTGGTAATAGTCTTAATTCAAGGTATTTTTAGAGAATTGATTTAACACAAGCAGAACAAATGGCCAGAAGTGTAATGAGAGACAAGTTGAAATTAGAAAGTAGATGTGCATTTTGAATGTATTGTCATAGCAACTGATTAAATTCTCCCTCTCTTGCTGTTCTGGGGACCTTTTAAATGTGCTTTGGCTAAATAAAAAGTATTAGACTATTTCAGAGCCAAAAGGTCAGTTCTTGTTGTCTCTTTTGCACTTTAATTCTAGTACACTGATACTTGCTAACCACTTATAACCCTAGATGCAGAATGAGAACTTGGGTTATTAACAATAAACAAGTCAACAGCAGAAAGACTTGACCTTTCTTTTGAATTGCCCTACAGTGTTAAAAAATACCAAACAAACCTCCTTCCCCAAAGAAACACCCCCCAAAATACCCCAACAACTCACCAAACAGAAAATCACCGACAACCAAAAAGCAGAAGTAACAAACGTGAACAGCAAGTGGAGGAAGAGTTTGAAAGCGGGATGGACAGAAGCACAAGTGTTACTGCCCACTCTTAGGCCACTGTGCTGATTCAATGGGTGTTGTTAGGTTTAGGTTAGTAGTTTGTTGTTGTTGGGTTTTTCGGTGGTGTTGATTTTTTTGTTGTCGTTGTGGGGGATTGTTCATTTGTTTGGTTTTATTTTGTTTTATTTTCTGTATTAAAAATCTGGCTCAGTTACTCTCTAGTTCTGGTGTGTTTTCTTTTCCAGGTGGTTGGTGTTCCTGCAGTGTTTGGCACAGGACCGGGTGAGTTTTTTACCCAGCTTTCTAAAGCTGTAGATGAATAGGAGAGGTAAGGGGATGACTTCTGGTCCGCGACCCAGTGACCACTCCCTGAAGGTCCTGACTCATGAGTCTGCTCCTTTGATTTGAAGGAGTGTACAGTTGCCATAGCCAAGGTAGCCTAGGGTGTCCAGTATCAGCATAAAAAGCAGCAGTAAAAAGGAACTATTCAGAGATGAATTTTTGTGCTGTTCCGTGAAAAAGTAAAAGCTATCTGTGCCAGCAAGTCTGTGAAGCAACTTTTTTCTTGTAATTCCATACCAAGTTTTGAATTGTTGCTGTTTTAATGAAGTCTGTTCATTGATTTTGCATCCATTGGTTTCAGAATCCAAATCTGGGGAAAAAAGTACTGTTAGTCTTTCTGAAATGTCTCTCAAACATGAAAGCCTAGAGAAAACTTTTTTTTTTGAGTAAAAAGAAGCCTCCAGGATGATCCTTATGCAATACAAATCCTGTGTTTTTCAGACTGAATGCACTCCCTTTATTCACCTTTTCAGAGAGTATCGTCCAGAATACGAGCGCCTGAGAAAAACACCGGTAAGTGTTTTTAGCTGTTTTACACCTGAACAGTGTATCTTGGGTCACTTTTATGCACACAGTTGCCTTTATGTTGAGAGGGTCTAACATTTCATTTACTAGTCGTACTCACTGTGGGAAAACTCCTGTCCTGAAGGAGTCCACCATTTGCCTTTTTTTTCCTAGATGTGGTGGAGCATATCTTTACAAAAATAAAGATTTTGTAAAACAGATCTTGCTCACTGTTTTAGTGCTGATATTTGAGCTAATTGTGTGAAAATGATTGGGAAATAAGATTGTGTCTTCCATTCAGATTGATAGAGAGTTCTTAAAAATAAATTTCCAAAGGGATTTGTTGAGACTATCCCTGTATCTTCCTGCACCGGTGAAGAGTACTAGTTTGACTTAGTAAGAAAGACTGAACTGCAGTGCCAAAATCAGTAGCTCTGCTCACCTTGAGTTCTGGCTGTCCAAAGGACAGTTCTCTGCAGGGACAGCTACACAGAGTTTGGCTTCCCGGCGCTGCTGAAAACGTCCTAGAATCCCACCTGACTGGAGGTTGCTTTCCATGCTTAGTCAGAAGTTCTGTGTAACCTTAGTTGAAATGTAAGACCTGCACAGTGACTTCTGTTCTCTGACTGGGGGACAGGCTGCTGGGTTTGGGCGAGGTTTCTCTTCTCCTGATGTTTTAAATGTTCTCAGAATCCACATGTAAATCTTTATCTACGGGAGAAAGCTCAAAATAAACAAAAGAGAGAGCAGCTGGAACACTTGTGGAAGGACATGGGCAGCGTGTGTGTGCAGGGCAGCACACTGGCAGGTACCTCCCCGGGAGGATAAAGTTTACTGCAGAAGTTTTCTGAAGAGTTTGCCTTGTGAAGTAGTACAGTGCTTCTTTGTCCTCACAGCAGAAGTGTGAAAGCAGCTCCATGTTAGAGGAGCGGGGCTTTAGTTCCCATGGGATTGGTCACACTTAGCTCTTCCTGTGTCAGTCACAGGTTTGGAAGAAACCCCGCTGTGTAGCTAAAGCAGTGGACCTACTAGAAATAATGAAATACTTTAGAAAAGGCAAAACGGTCAGATCAGAATATGAGAAAGCTCTGCTGTTGGCTGCACTGTTCCTTAGATGAGGCGAGTAGGTGCTGATGGAGTCTGTCCTGTGTCTGGGATCCACAAGCAGCTTTCTGTCCCCTTAGAGCAGGTGTTCATTGCTGTGTTTCTGTGCAGACAGAAGTTGTCAGTGCACATGCTCCCTTACCTTTAGCAAGCTGGTTTGTGTACAGCCGTTTCTGTTCCCTTCAAGGACCTGATGCTTCTGCAAGGAGTCCCTCTGAGCTAATACTAACACGAGGAACTCTCGATGAAGAGCGAGAAGACAGGGAGAGTGACGCTGATGGCATTGACCATGAAGGTAAGGGAATGAGGTCTTGTAGTGGTTTGAACCTTGTTTTCCCCCAGAGGCTGAAAAAGTGGTAACCCCCAGGGGTGGAGACCCCTGGAAGTTTTGAAGTTCTGCCCAATTAGCGCTCCTGCAGAAATGTAAACATATCACAAGCACCGGAAGAGAAGGGGTTGTAGTTTGGGTGGTTAGAAGATAGTAGCCATGTTGTAGGAGCTCTGCAAAGGGGCCTGGAGCCCCTCGGGGCCTCTGGGGCCCCCCAGCCCCAGTTGGGGGCTACAGAGACTTGGAACAGTGTTAAGCTGGACTATGTGTCTGTAGCTGTGAGCTGGGAGATGTTTTCCATCTTGAGTGAGCAGAGACAGAGCAGAAGCGGCGGCAGTGTCCAGAGACACCTGGACAAGAGCCAGGACAGATAAGAACTGAACCGGAGGAAGCAGCAGAAGCTAGCAGCAGAACTACGGAGTTCTGGGGGTAAGAACTGATATTAGACCCCCCAAACTCCTTTGAGACCTCCTAGAAAGGAGGAAGATGATGGACTCTTACTTGAAAGAGCCTTGGAGTGCTACAGCACTACAGAGAGGAGCTGAGAAGCTCAAAGGCGTCCTGGGAAGCTGGACCGGGACGGAGAAGGAATGTGGGGGGGGTTGACCTTGGCCCCCCTCGCTGCTGCTGCTAAGCTAGCAGCCTTGAGACAGAGCACGGAGCTCTGCAAAGGGGAATTTCAATCCCCTGAGGAAGGGACTTTCACGAAGATGCCCCTGCATTTCGTGATATACCTGTGGTGACGCGAGTCTGGTCCCTGCTGGCAGCCCACAGGTGAGGCCTTCGCTTGGACCGAAGGAGAGCTGAGGGGCTTGAAGGCCCCCTTGTGTATATTGAACAGAGATCCAGCTACAACAATCCAGTTACTGCTGCATGCATGAGATGAGGAGAACCTGCTGCCTTAGAAGAAGCTGCTGCCCTGAGAGACTGGAAGGGATCTGTCCTTCTTTCCCTCCTGGACTTTTATTTGGAGGGGAGAAGAGATCTGATCCATTGTAAATACTATATGTCATGGTAGAGATAGTTGTGATCGTGTGTATAATGTGTTATAGTATTTATTTGTACAGTCATTGTAATATATTCCCTTTCCCCCATTCTGAGTCTGGTTGTGTTTTGTCTGGAAAAAAACCCATCTCACATTAGGTTGAGATGTGGGAGGGGGGATGGAGCTAGGGAATTGGATTTTGGGGCTATCTCAAACCATGACAGGTCTAAAAGCTACCTCTCAAGAAATCCCCTCTGTATTTCATGACCTGGATGGACTGTAAGGAGAGCCTAGAAAACAAGCAAACATTCAGTCACCTGACGTGTCAGAATCTGTAGCAGAAGCTCGGCTGCAATGGTCAGTGCAGGGATATCACTCTGTAACCTTTGTGAAAGTTCAATTGTAAATTTTCTATTCAAGTAATTAAGAGGTGTATAACACACATAAACTAGAGAACTCGTTAGGCTTGGGGCATGCAGTGACCTCTGAACCTGATTGATGCACAGATGTGTCCATCATCTTTTTGGCCTTACAGTTTCTGCCCCTGGCTCTCTTCCCTTTTCCTGTGACTGTGGTCTTGGAGCAATCTTCTAAGTTGTTACAGTGTGATTTTTCTCTTATATAGCTCACAGACTTAATCTTCATTCTTTCCCTGTTCCACTGATGGGTAGGATCACTTATTTCCTTTGCCCTGTAATGTAGTTGAAGATGGAATAGACTTTCTATGTTGCTTTGGCTATCCCGATTCTAACTTTTTTTCAGAACCACAAGTAGAACAAGTACTGAAATAGCGCTGAACTTCAGCAGCAGCGGGGACTGCGCAGGAGAAGGAGGGTGGGCAGCGGGCCTGGGGCGGGCAGGGGGATGGAGGTGGGGGCGGGCACTTAAAAGATTTCGGCCAGGGAGCTGATCTCAGCCAGCACCCAGTCCCCGCAGAAGCAGAACTGCTGCGTGGGGAGAGGCGGTCAGAGGCGCGCTGCCGCTCTGCGTCCTCCCCGCTCCCCGCCGCCGACTCCCGGCCCACCACGTCGCCGCTGCTCCCCGGTCCCCCATGCCGCACAGTCCGCCTTCGCGCCCCGGAACCGCCCGGTGTGCCGGTGGGGGGCTCCCCGAGGGGCTCTGCAGGGGCCTTGGGGCCGGGACCCCGGGGGTGCAGCCCGACCAAGGGGCGGGGCAGGGGACGGGGTCCTGGGGGGGGGACCCGGGACGGCCACGGACCCGCGGGAAGGGCCCCTCCGACACGGCCCTAGTCCCTCCTCCCGACCACCCGAGCACCTCCCGCCACCCGCGGCCGCGGCCCCGGGGGCTCCAAGCCCCGCCAATCCGGGCCCGAGGCAGCGTCTGGCCCGCCAATCCCGGCCCGCCTTTCTCGGCGCCGTCCAATCACAGCCCGCCTTTTCAATCCGGCAGCGGTCCCGCAAGCTCTGCCCGCTCAGCCGCGGCGCGGCTCCTCCGCGCGGCCCCGTCCCCCCGTTCCCCTCAGGCGGTGCTGGGACCGCGGAAGGGCGGTGGGAGCTCCACGGTCACGTCCCGTCCGGGAGCTCTCCCAGGAGAAGGGGAGGGAGGCGGGGAGCGGGCGGGAGGGGCTCCGGGAGCGGGGCCTGCGGGGCCAGCGGGGTTCTCGGGAACGGGCGGACGGGGATTGGCGGGGCTGGCACGGGGGGGCGGGGCTGTGCGGGCCGCGGGCTATAAATAGCGGGGGGGGGCAGTTCGGCGGCGGAGGTGGAAGCGGCGCTGGAGCGGCGGGAGCCGGGGCGAGATCGGCGGTGAGCTGGGGCGGGACTCCCGCGGCTGCCGCTCCAGGCACGCGGCTTGTCTTGGGCACAGGGGCCGCTCTCTCCGGGAGGTTCTGGCTCCCGACGTGCAGGTCCGATCCCGGCCCGCCACTCCCAGCCCGCTTTTCTCCGCTCCGTCCAATCGTAGCCCGCCCTTTCAATGGGGCCGCGGTCCCGTAAGGTGTGCCCGCCCAGCCGCGGGGCGGTGCCGCCCCCCTTCCCCACGTTCCCCTCAGGCGCTGTAGGTGCCGGCGCCTTTGCTTCCGGAGCCGCGCCTGCGCTGCCGCAGCCCCCGACGGGCCCTGTTGGGACCAGGGAGGGCGCGTGGCACAGCTCCGCGCTCACGTCCCGTCTGGGAGTTCTTCCGGGAGGCGGGGAGGGGGCGGGAGCGGCCCTTTCAATGGGGCCGCGGTCGAGCAATCTCTGCTCGCTCAGCCGCGGCGCGGAGCCGCCCCCCTCTCCACCTCGCCCCCCGCGTTCCCCTCAGGCGCCGGTCTCGGCGCCTTTGCTTCGGGGTCCGGCGGAGCCGCGCCTGCGCTGCCGCGGTGCCCGCAGGCGCTGTTGAAAGGGCGGGTGCGAGGCCCGCGGTCCCGTCCCGTCCCGGAGTTCTCCCGGGAGAAGGGGAGGGAGGCGGGGAGCGGGCGGAAGCGGAGCAGCCCCTGGGAGCGGGGCGTGAGGGGACAGCGGGATTCTTGGGGACGGGCAGGGCGGGAGCGGGCAGGCGGGGATTGGCCGGGCCGGACGCTGCCGGACGCTGGGATTGGCTGGGCTGGCACGAGGGGGCGGGGCTGTGCGGGCCGCGGGCTATAAATGGCGTGGGGGGGGCCCCTGAGGGCAGTTCGGCGGCGGGGCTGGGGGCGGCGCTGGAGCGGCGGGAGCCGGCCCGGGATCGGCGCGGCCGCTGGGCCGAGGAGCGGCGGTGAGCCAGGCTGGGACCCTCGCGGCTGCCGCTCCAGGGAGCGGTGGGGAGCCATGGGGCAGCACCCCCTCGGCTGCCGATCCCAGGGGGAGCCGGGGTCGGTCCCCCGCAGCTACCGAGGCAGGGCGTTGGGCAGGCGGTGTCCCGGGCAGCTGTGCCGGCCACCTTTGGTCAGTGCTCAGGAGGGGAACAGCCCATGCTCAGGGGTGCTCCCCCGAACCAGAAGGACTAGCATGCAGCCTCTCAGTGGGGCTGGTATTGAAAGTATTGTTACAAAGAAAAGTAATAAAAGATGCTTCATTCTATTATAATTTAATTTTAATTTTATTTTCATCTTTGACTACTTGATTGTTTATTCTATTGTTTTGTTGCTGTTCCCGTTGGGAACAGAGATACTTAAGTGAACGACAAAGACTGATTTGTGACCTTGTCAACAGCCCCGGGCTGCAGAGATACCCAGCAGCAGATTTAGGCAGAGGCAGCAGAAAGCTGAGGCAGAGGCAGCAGAAAGCTGAGAACCTGGAGCTCAGGCAGCAGAACTGGTGGAGACATAAAGACGGTAGGACTGTGGGCAGAACAAGAGTGGGGCTGGATTAGGGAGCATGGACCTGGCATAAGTACTGCAGGGATGGAGCTGGGATAAAAATAGTCAGGCCTGGCCTGGAATGTGGGCTTGAGTGCTGGGGTGGAAAACTCAGACCTTTGACAAAAGAAAGCTTCTAGGATTGGAACGTGCAGCAGTTTTACCGGGAGCTGACAGCAGAGCTGGCAGAGAAATAAAGGTTGTGGGTCTGGGTATGGGATAGGGAGAGTGGTGCTCGGAAGGGGACTGTGGAGCAGGGATAGGACTTGTAGCAGTGCGGCAGAAATGACTGTAGGATTGAGACAGGGACTGGCACCGTCGCTGAAATCCCTGTGTGGCTGTGGAATAGGGATTGATGGGTGGGAATGTGGATTGGGTGGGTAGCGCTGAAATCACTGAGGGGCTGGGGTATGGACAGGGTTTGGGCTTGGGACAGTAACACTTGAGCAGTAATGACAGCAATCAGTGTGAGATAGGGCCTGTGGCACCGTCGCTGAAATCCCTGTGTGGCTGTGGAATAGGGATTGATGGGTGGGAATGTGGACTGGGGGGGAAGAGCTGAAATCACTCTAGGGCAAGGATCTGGACTTTGGAGTTGGGATGGGGTTTGTGGGGCTGGAGGAGCACCTGGGGGACTGGGATTGGGAGTGTGAGGTTGGAGCTGGAAAGTCGCAGAGCTGGAGCCAAGATGAAGATCCTGCAGCGAGAACCTGGAGCAGCTTCCCGTGGCGGCGATGGCAAGATGCAGAGCTACTGCTGAGAGAGCAGAGCTGGCAGTGCAATAAAGCT